GTATTCGATACGACACCTTCTGGGGAACACCGATCGCTTTTTGTGCTCCCGGTCGTATCGGACACCGATTCTCGACGCTGATCGGCCGTCGTAGGGGCTGTCGGCCGTCACTGGTACCGGTCCACGAACCGTCGTGATACCGTCCTTGGTAGGAGGAATCAGGGACACGTGTCCGAAAGAGCTGGTCTTAACTGGACCAGCCTGGGCGTCAATTATTTCAAATCTAAGATGATCGAATGTTTCTTTTCCGTTTCTCCTTTTTTTAACGAGAAACGTACCGATGAACCGGTCTCTTTGGAATCTCCGGGGAAGGGACGACTAAATTATGTTGACGGCAGACTGTGTTTTCTATGAAATAAATTATTCTCGGGAAATTCAAGCGAATATTGTATTATTTCGAACGAGTTTGTCGGTCGTGCGAACGGTTGCGTCGAAAGAATTTCATTTGAGTAACGTTCGCTTGGAAACAATTCTATTCGATTCACATTAGACGACGATCGGTGCAACTGGAAATATATAGCTTGACAATAGTTGATTTTTTGAGAATGGCTTCGTGACAATACGATCCCCTTGAATTTTTCAATCGAGACTTAATTGAGCCTGTTCCGTGGATAAAGATTCTCCAGGGACCGTGGAAAGGAAACAGGGGCGGTCCAGCTGCGACGGCTGAAATACAGACACATAACTACTTTCCAAACGGCAGACCGAATACCTTAATACTACCTATACATATAAATAATTAAATAAATTAATAAATATATATATATATATACATATATATATATATATATAAATATATAAATATAAATATAAAGTATAATGATTATTTATTAAATACCATTATTGAATATTATTAATAATCGGTAGTTACGTACATATTATACGAAGAACAAAAATTTACTGCTTGTATATATTGAGAATATCGTAATAAAAATAATGTACGAATAACAAATGCAGTTTTGTTCCCCTTTCCCCGTCTAATTGTCTCCTCTGAAAAAGTTCGCTAGGATTCTAGGCAATAAAAATGTTTTCAAACGAAGTATTTGATTTACAATTAATTTCAAGAATATCCCACGATGAAGTTTTAGCGGAAAGCGTTGGAAACTGTAAATAATTCAATCTCGAGTACATTAGGAAAGACATACAAAGAAAATAGTTGATGATCATTACAGATTTAGAGAAATTTATTTGAGACTATGTATACAATGACATGTATCGCGTAAAAAAATATAATTAATATTTAAACAAAAAGTAATCTCAAGTCATTTCTTAGAAGTACTAGCCTCGGCGGCTTTAATTAAGAAAGTTTTCATCATATCCTCCCTCAGCTCACTAAAACGCGAAGCCTGGATCAGGACAGCCATGTGATCTATAGCGTACTTGAGGCAATACTCCTCTAATTCCTGAAAATTTACAATGCTAGTTGACGTTTTGGTAATATAAAGTACAAACATAGGGTATAACATAAAGAATGTTACATACCGGAAAATTATATTGTTTAGCTACGCTATATAGAACAGGCACGTTAAACACAGTAATACTTTCTTTTATAATCTGTATACAACGCTTTTGTAATTGAATATCACAGTAACGATTCGCTAATTCCAAGAGTTCTGGTCACCGAAAGAAGAAAGGAAGCAATGTAGATATAATACAGTATACATTTACAAATGTCCAACAACTTACCCAAGACACCTGTTTCTTCGTCTGCAGATAAATCAATTTCATCTGTGTACAGATATTTTAGAAAAGCTCTGTATACCTTGTAAGGGTATTCAGAGCATTCTATTACACTGCAAAGGATACTGTACTAATGAAACTGTACATTCATATTAAGTTATTTAATTTACCTTTTATTATTTTCTATCCAGTGATCTTGAAACATTGTTTTGAAGTATTGAGAGCGTATCTTTAACATAGCTTTATGTACATAAATTGGTTGCCCTTCAACTTGTATAGTGAGATCACTGGTAGTCTTAAATGTATAAAAAGAATTATTATACAAAGAATTGAAGCTGCACGGTTATATAAGATTATATACCGAATCATCAAATGCTTCCTTTAGACAATCCATTAAATCCTTTTCTGCTTTTACATCGGAAAGAATCAGTGGCTGATGCATAACCTTTGTCGTTGCGTAACACGCGAAAACATCATGTACGTTCTTCAATGAAGTTAATAGTGGTGTTAAAATAGCTTGTCCTAGACACAAACCCCATATAAAAATGTCATTGTGTTCTCCCACAGCTACACTGATGTAATTGCAACATGAAGCTGCTATATCCAATACTCTATCCACATTTGGTATTTTCAACTAAAAAAGCATTTACTATTTCATTCTTGCTAACACAATCATATTATGTTATTTTACCAGGACTGGAGTCCTTGTACTGTATCGAGTGCCAAGACCTAGTTGTCCATATTTGTTTTCACCCCAAACATAGAGATCTCCTTTATTACTTAGTGCAAGAGTATGATCGTAACCACAGACCACTTTCTCTGTAAATATATTACATTACTAATCAATACTGGTTTTATTTTTTTTAAGTGATGTTTAATTAGTACCTATCCTAATTCCATTAAATCCTATAACTGCGTGTGGATCTTGCTGACCCGGAATATCCACTCTGAATGTATAAACTTCTCCATTTTCTGCAACTGCCATGCTGAATGCATGACCACAACTAATGCTGATAAATATATTCTTACTTAGAATACATTTCGCTCCCTTCACATTTATACTCAGTTGATATACCTAAATACAAACTGTTATTGTTTGCTAACAAAAATTCAGTTATCTTATTTTAATGTTAATACTTTACCTCTCCAGTTTCAGTTAATACCAGAGCATAATGATATCCACATGCAATATTCACAACAAATTTAAAGTTCAAATGTTCCACCAAAACAATTGATGTATTATTCCAGAAGTATACCTAAACATAATTTGCCTTGACACTTTGACATTCATAAGTTATCATTACTAGACAAGGAAGAGGCAACTGGGAATTGCACTGATAACAAAGTTGAAGATATTGCTGATATATGTGACATGTATATACAAATAGTTGCATATATTTAACCTTTGCTCTACTTTCTGTCTACTTCACAAAAAGTTTGCACTATATCTAATATTAACTAGAAATATATAAGATATATTTATATGTTTAAAAATCATATTTCTCTTAACAGTGTTATCTTGTACCTTTATACTCTACATATTCCTGAAAATTAATTAACAATACCTTTCCATTGTTTGTCAATGCGAAAAAATATGATCCTCTGCTCTGGACAAAGGTTTTAATACCTTTGCCACACAATGCAGGAACCCTTTTTGGATAATGAATACCTCGAATATCGTCAATTGCAAGACATCTATTAGTGTTGTTCCCTAAGATATATACCATATCATCCTCTGTTACAATTAAACTTTTCTCGCCTGAATTACCTATTCAAAGAAACTTAACATTATGAAAATTTTTATTATTTTATATACTATTATACAGCAATATCTGTTACACATTAGGTACCATACACAAAAACCAGACGAATATTTGCTATAAATTCTGGTTCTAATAAATTAAAAATTCGCCACTTCACAAATTCCGATGGAATCATATTTGCCTTCGTGTAAATACTTATAAGTACTTATCACACTTTTAACCACATGGATTGTAGTCACCGTGGATCCTTATATTACTACACAAAATTTCTGCAAGTTATAATACATCACTGATGAAGGTTCTCTAAGGTGACTACGAATTTATAGGTACTAATACCCCATCTGTAATATAAATAATCAGTAAAATTTAGTAACTGACAAGGCAAGCATAGTATGCTTTCTTACCAATAAAACCTTCCAGAGAAACTTTCTTCAAAGTTTATCTTTTAGTCTCTGTAGCAGACATATCGAATTCTCTCCCTTCAAGCTAGTGATGCTCATTCGTGGTTCCTCTACTGTAGAAGTTACCGAGGACTGTTTCTTTCTATCAGCCAATGCCTTAGCAATGGTTACTTAAATAAAAGATTAAAAATTGCCTTGGGTATGTCCACGTAAAATTCTGAAACAGAATGTGAGTTAGATATCTGGAAAACAATAATTAGATTGGTAGATTGATAGAACAGGGGTGTTTAATAACAACACAGTCTTGAACAGCTACTAAATTATAAAGGTAGTGGGAACACTGTTTTCGAGTTACTAACGAGAAGGAAATATGTTGTTAGTCACCTCTGATTTATGAAATCTTAGGTACACCTGGGAATGTCCGATTAAATATCGACTTAATACTTACTGAAGGAAGTATGTACCACCATGTTTCCCGGTAGAACCGAGATGGCGCCTGCGTCCATTTCCTTGCTCCTGTACTCTTTTAGGTTGTAAATAATCGGTCAACTTATGATCGATGAACGGTAATCAATTTTAGTAATCAGAAGTACTTCCGTTATTAAATACACACAAAATAAGAAAAAGAATAATCCTTTTATCTCTAAGTAGATACACTTTGTTTTAAATATTACACTTTTAAGCAGTTCTATGTAGTGTTCAATACGAACAGATAAAAGGTAACTTTGCGTAAGCGGAATGTCACTAGAATGCCCGCAGGCACCGATGTAGACACCCTTGCTTTAGAATCTAGAAGTCATACTGGAACAAACTAATTACTGATCCGTTATTTTAAAACTTTTAGTGATCATACCATAGTTACTAGAAATCATGTTTTAAATGCGCCTGCTTTAGCAGCTTTAATTATAAAAGCTTTTACTATGGTTTCATTTAACTCAGCAAAACTTGGAGTTTCTATAACTGCTGTCATGTGGTTTAAAGCAAATTTGAAACAAGATTCTTCTATTGCCTGGAATCATATAATGCTGTAGATATTTTAACAGTATATAAAACATTAAACCCGAAATATGTTATCTTACCTTAATATTATAAGCAATGGCTGTGCCATATAGACAAGCCACATTTGATACTCTGATTCTTTTTATTATTATTTGTAAACATCGTCTTTGTAATTGAGACTCAGAATAAATATTTGCTAAATTAAGGAGTTCTGCTAAAACGAAGCATAACAGATAAGGCATAGTATCGCATTGAAAAATGTTATTGCGTATTTACCTAAAATATCTATTGGAGACAAATTATCAATTTCATCAGTATACAAATACTTTAAGAAAGTTATATATACATCGTGCGAAAATTGATCTTCTTTTATGATACTGAAATAAATAATCAGGTTAACAAATAAGAAATATTGTAAATAAATTTAAAAGCTTGTTTACCATTGATCATTTTCCACTGACTGCTTTTGAAACATCGTTTTATAGTGATGACTACGAATCTTCAATATAAATTTGTGTACATAAATAGGATTCCCTTTTACTTGAATAATAAGGTCACTAGTAGACTATAACATTCCAAAAATTCAGTCAATAATATTAAACAATTAAATATACACCATATACACAAATACATACTGGGTCATTAAATGCATCCTTTAAAGACTGAAGTATATGAATTGTTTTATCTTCATGAAGAATAAGAGGTTTATGCATAACTCTAGGTGTTGCGTAATTTGCAAAAGCATCATAGATGCATCTTACTGATGTAAGAGTTGGTGCTTTGATATATTGCCCTAGACAAGAACCCCATATAAATATCTGATTACTGTCTCCCATAGCTATACTTATGTTAGTGGAATGAGAACTTGCTATATCCAACACTTTTATCATTTTTGGCATGGTTAACTAAAAAAATGTCATTAACCAAACTTCAAAATTTCATTAACTAAACTTCATGAAATCATAAGTCTTACTAAATTTTACCATCACAGGAGTCCAGACTATGTTACTTGAAGAAATGCCTAATTGTCCATGACTGTTATCACCCCAAACAAAAAGAATACCCTCATCGCTTAATGCCAGAGTATGCCATCCACCACAAGTTACTTTTTCTGTAAATAAAAGTGATCACTACTTACATGCAATGCACACTTAATGTATACTTAAAGAAAAAAGTATATGTACTTATCACAACTCCAGTAAGTTTTGTAACTTGACAAGGTTTGTCAGAGTATAAGTCTATATTATTCCCAGTTCCTAATTGACCAACACTGTTGTCACCCCAAGTATAAACCTCACCATTGTCTGTAACTGCAGTACTTGACGAATCTCCGCAACTGATACAAATAAATTTCTTGTTCTTTAATAAAACATTGACTTTCTTAGATCTTTTTTCAGTATCATTATTTGCACAAAGACCTGCTTGTCCACAGTGATTTTTGCCCCATGCATATACCTAAATACACAGAAGAAATCTGTAAATATTTTTCATTAGTATAGGTAACTCTTGTATAACATAGCATCTTAAGAACACAGTTTTGTTGTAACGTAATTAAAGAAATAAAATAATTTCTGATATAATATGGCATTTTTGTGAAAAGAAATTATTGATACTTTAATTTGTAAACATATTTCTTGCATATAAAAACAAAGTATTTTGTAATTATGTAAATTATCATAGCATGACAATGTTAAAAAACATAAGTATCATGTTATACAGTAGTTACCTATATATTAAATCGAGTAAGATTTGGTTTACCTCTCCAATATTTGATAATGCCATAGAGTGATAACTTCCACAAGCTATATCCACAATAAATTCTGTATCAGATGACAAGATTTGTACAAGACTTGGTGTTGAACTTTCATGAACACCTTGAGCAGAAATATTTCCTAATTCATTAGAAATATTACTACCCCATGAATACACCTATTAATAATTATAATAATAACAACTCTTCAGAATATTGTTATTTTTTTACTGTTTATTATTAAAAGCAAATTATTAATACCTCTCCTGCATGTGTAAGAGCTAAAACATGAGGTCCTTTACCATATGCAAAGGTTTTAATATCCTTGTTGCATAATGATTCAACTAGCTTTGGATAAAAGGCATTACATGTATCACCAGTTCCCAGACAGCTAGATTTATTAGTTCCTATTGCATATACCCATTTATCTTGTGTTACAATTAAAGCTTCATTACCTAAGTCACCTATTTCATAAAATATAAGGTTACAACAACTTTTCTAATATATCCTATATAGTTCTAAGCTAAATTAAATTACCATATACCAATACCATATGAATCTTTGACCGAAATGTTGGTTCCAAGAAATCAAAGATTGGCCAATTTCTCAAATACATATTATTGATAAAAACTATATTCAGTACAGAAGGAAATCGTGCTAGCACTCGTAAAAGTATTTCCCAAAAATTAAATGTGCTTTCTCACATATAATTGAATGTCATTTAATCATAGGAACTGATTTAAACATCGAATACTTATAAAAAATTACGTAAATAGAAACAAAGAAATGTATACGAAGGTATTGTAGCTTACATAATTACCGATTATATTATCAAAATTTTATTGAGTTGCAATGTTCGGTTAATAGAGTGCACTGTTGTAGTAAACTTCTTTTGAGGTTAGCATTTAAGAAGCAAATTGATAAAACAATAGTATATTTTTCTACTTGACTGGATCATTGATTGTAAAAATTTAAATATCATGTAATCGAGTTTATGTCTTACTCCGACCGAGAATTTCATTAGTTTATGAGAGTATATTGTCATAGAAAAAGTCCACTTTAGTTACTGTTTACATAGCTGATATTAACAACAATGTTAGCTGTAATTGGAACTCAATTACATTTGTAAAAGTAGTAAGTATATATAAGATAAAATGTGTAATTATACAGCATGAAGCATGTTCAGGTAATAACTCTACAATTGAAATTACAATATTTAAATCTTTAAAGTGTATCATATGGACTGCGATGACCAAAATACTTTGAAAATGAGTGAAAGTGAGTCTGTTTATGGGACCACATTGTCCCAGGAATCAATAAAAGTAATCGCAGAAAGCATAGGTGTTGGAAATTTTCCTGATGAAGCAGCCAAAGACCTTGCTGAAGATGTAAGCTATAGACTTAAGGAAATTATTCAGGTCTGTATATTTAAAGTAAGAATACATTTCATTTAGACTTAATTCTCTTAAAATTTACTTTTTACACATTGAGATTTTATATTTAGGATGCAGCTAAGTTCATGAGACATGGTAAACGTCAACGTATGACCACTCACGATATAGATTGTGCTCTGAAAATTAAGAATATTGAACCAACATATGGATTTTTTGCTAAGGATCATGTACCATTTCGCTTCGCTTCTGGTGGTGGTAGAGAATTACATTTTGTGGAAGAGAAAGAAATTGATCTAAATGAAGTTATATCAATGTCTGGTGGACAATCGTGGCCAAAGTTACCTTTGGAGATTACACTGCGAACTCATTGGCTCTGTATAGACGGTGTTCAACCCACAATACCAGAAAATCCACCTCCAGTGTCTAAAGGTTACAGATTTAAGTTATTAGCTTTAGCTTTAACACATTAGCTTCTTGTCAGTATTAATAAGCTTATTATATTTACCAATTGTGTTACAGATATTCAAAAGTTGGAAAGTGTTGACCCAACAAGTACACTGTCAAACAAGAATCAAAACATTGGTGTTGGAAAACCAGGTGGTGGAGGCAAGAGTCAGAAATTACGTAATGTGGAAACTGTTCACGTTAAGCAATTAGCGACTCATGAATTAAGCGTTGAACAACAATTGTATTATAAGGAAATTACGGAAGCTTGTGTCGGATCTGATGAAGCGCGCAGAGCAGAAGCACTTCAGTCTCTGTCGGCCGATCCTGGTTTACATGAAATGTTAGCACGCATGTGTACTTTCATTGCCGAAGGTGTCCGCGTAAATGTTGTACAAAATCATCTTGCGCTCTTAATTTATCTCATGCGAATGGTTAAAGCTCTTCTGGACAATCCGAGCTTGTACTTGGAGAAATATGTACGTAATATAGTTTTTGTTTTCCTCAAGATTTAAAAAATCTTTAATTTGTTAATTTGTTCTCCTAACTTACAGTTGCATGAATTAATACCATCTATTGCAACTTGTATAGTATCACGGCAATTATGTATGAGACCGGAAATGGACAATCACTGGGCTCTGCGTGACTTTGCTTCACGCCTTATGGCTCAAATATGCAAAAACTTCAATACATCTACAAACAACGTACAAACCAGAGTGACTAGAATGTTCAGTCAAGCACTGGCGAAGAATAGTCAGGTACAATAACAAAATTAAAAAGGATCATACGAAAGACGATAATAATATTAATGATAGTAAAAATAACAATAATTTCTTTGTAGACCCCTTTAGCATCTCTTTATGGTGCAATTGAGGGATTGTGTGAATTAGGCCCAGAAGTTATAAAAGCGTTGGTTATTCCAAAAATTAAGTCTATTTCTGAACGTATAGAATCTTGTATCGAGGGGCCAGGTTTGTCGAGCGTAGATAAAAATGGAGCGGGTCACATAAAAACTCTGCTAGTGGTGAATTAAATCTTTCATTAACGAAGATCTTACTATGTTATAATTTGTGCATCGATGTAGAACTTTAACACATGTTACAGAAATCAGTCGCTCCTGTCTTAAAAACTATACGATCCCCACCCGATTATGTGGATGATTACAAACAAGATTACGGCTATATAGGACCAGCGTTGTGTGCAGCAGTCGCAAAAGCACGTACACAGCCAGCAACATTGGCAACAACTGCATCTACAACAACAGCTTTGACGACGAGTCAACAAGGTCCAACTTGCACTGGCAAAACCATCATGCAAGCTGGTAATTTGATTTCTCATAAGGTAACATTGTGTGCGCCGTAGAATTAAGCTCCTTTGATTTTTTTTCGTTTTTCATATAAGTAACGAGTTCTAGTCCTGGGCAACAAGCTGGACGTACAATAATGCTGGGCACAAGTAGAACGCCTGGTACAACCACCACGGGCGGCGCACAAAAGTTCGTGATCTTACAATCACGGTCTCAAACGCCAACCGCAACTTGTACAATACAACAATCACAGCAGCAACAACCGTCTCAAACGCAACAGCAACAACAATCGCAGCAGCAACAAGTTAAAATTTCTCAGACGAATGTTGTTCAACAGAAGGCCCACCTACAAAGTAGCGGTGCCAAACTAGTGGTCGTTTGTATGTCGAATAGTAGTCACACCTCTACTACTACGATCTCGCAGGTATGCGTACTATTTTAATATGAAAATTCTGTAAATTTCTAATAATCCTATCGATTGTGGTGTTACAGGGGAATATGGCATCAAAATCGCAGAACGTTTTTGTTACACAGCAAGGTATCGAGTGCTCGTTAGGTTCAGAGGAAGAAAAAAATACGTTTCAGTGACAAAAGGTGCAATGATTAACGACAAATGAATCCCTGATATTTTGTACACTGTACAGCAGTAAAATCCTAAGACTAATGTATCTAATATAAAAAGAATAACAAAACTTTTTTATAAATTACATACGGTTAAATATAGAAAATAGTAGATTCCTAATAATAGTTTCATACTCCAAGAGTAAAGTAATGTATTTTAAATCATATCTCTTCTTCTGACTTAGAAATATTCCGAGTTTCAGCTATTATGTCTAATTTTTTTAATCTTAAACACCCAAATTCTCGAATCTTGCATTGCGTCCTGTCTTTTTAAAAAAATGCAGAAAGTCAATATACAACGAAATGTTTATTAAGCTTCATTCACGAAATTATGTTGTGTTTGGTGTTCTTTAAATTATTGAAATTATCTCTAGGAGTCGGTAAACGCAGAGAATAATTCCTATATTATCTGTAGTAGATATAGAGATATATTTGCCGGTATAGAAGTTGCCTTGTTTAACATGTTCTTCAGTCACCGACCAGTTGCGCTACTTGTTTTTATTGCTAGCCTGCGTGGGCGAAAAAGAATACGTATTTTATACGAAATATATGCAAAAATCAATTGAAAACATTGATAGTATTTATTTCAAGCACCATTTATCATATTAAATATTTCGAATCGATCTCATAAATCGAACATTTTATGGAAAATCTCCATTCGTGCTATCTACCGGTTCGAACGTTACATGCGATTAAAAAATATGACAATTCCATTCTTCGTTAATCCCCTTCGAAGCTAACTCGACACATTCGAGTAGACCATATGATTCCCGAGTACTGGAAACACCCAACGAAACTGCCATATGACGCGCAGCTGGAATAACTGCACGATGAGTCATTCGGGCTCGTCCACCCCTAAATGTCCTTTGGCCCTACCCTCTCCTTTTTCCGTCGAAAATAGCTACAAGCAATTCCGTCCAAAATTATCCCATACGAAAAACACTGAATCCAGTCTGTTCAAGATTCCAAATACGTACATATAATCTTACGGATATAGTTCAATAACCGAACAAGTTCCGTAAAAAGCGAGTTCACGCTTCACGCGGGACTTCTTTTTTCGTGTATCGAATGTGAAATCGTGTTCCGTCGCGAAGGGTGAGTCAGTCGCCCAGTGACGTATCACGATGTCCGCGTACCTTAGGCACTTTCTCATTTCACCCTGCGCCCCTTATCTTTCTCCTCAATCTGACATCTGGTTAAATGATTCAACCGATTCGTTTTCCTTTAACCGATCTTCTATTTCTTAGATTTTCCAATTTGTTTCAGCAGCAAAAATTTGTCATGTGCCACTGGCATCGTGCTCGAGGTGCCTGCCGGATAATACGGCCCTGCAGCCACCCTCTGATGACGGTCAAGGAAACGATTGGAGGAAACGTTTGCCGGATAGTAGGAGAGGTTCGACGGTAGGGGAGGGATGAACGATAGATTCCGATTGGTCGAAGCTTCGGGGTCGGAATTCATAGTGGGGACGGGACAGTGCGAGCGTAGGATCGACAGAGGGAAGAGTGGTAGAGTGGCTCGCCGGTCTTACCTGGTGTTACGTGCCACAGAATCACTAGCCGGTCAGTCAGTGTACTGTCTCCTTCCTGCCCTTGAACGCTCGGCTGGACGGTGTTCTTTGCGCTCGCCTACCTCTCGTAGTGTCAACTGACAGGTCAGTGCTCCTCGCCGCGACACATTCCGATCTATTGTTGCTAGAAATTGCATGCGACAGACGATGCTTTTTTCGTGTGAGAATGTAGAGATTCGCGGGCGAATACTCGCGGAACCCGGCATTCTTCGTGCGCTCGAAGAAAGACCGGCGGAGATTAAGGTGTACGTACACTAGCAAGGAACTTTTCCGACATTTTTTTTATCGATACCGACTCTCGTAACGCGAGTAAACGCATCTGAAATTTGCTGGCCGA